GCCGCCACCACCACCACCACCACCACCGCCGCCACCACCACCACCACCACCACTACCACCACCACCACCAGGCATCAGCCCAACATTTCAACTTCTCATGATGACACAACGCCCCGACTCAGGAGGACACTGTCGACCAGCTAATACACGTATATATGGCATACCCGCATGCGCCGAGAGACGGATGGCGCGGTGACGTCACACTTATCTGCGCCTGTTTCTCGTAATCGTAGAATATAGCTGATGATTTCCGCGGACAAATCGAATTAGGAAGCCAATCTCGGCGTCTGCTGGGCAAAGAGCTGCGCAGCGTAATCGCATCACGCGCATTCAGGTGTGTCACGCGCACCGCGCCGCACACCCAGCCCGCGATCGTGCAGGATGAGGGTGTGTGGGTGTGAGTGTGTGTGTGGTGAGTGTGAGGGGAGGGTGAGGGTGTATGGGTGAGTGTGAGGGGAGGGTGAGGGGAGGGTGAGGGTGTATGGGTAAGGGTGTGGTGAGGGTGTGTGGGTGATGGTGACGGTGACGGTGTGTGGCTGATGGTGAGGGTGAGGGTGTGTGGGTGAGGGTGAGGGTGATGGGAGGGTAACGGTGAGTGTGTGGTTAGGGTGTCGGTGTGGGTAACGGTGAGTGTGCGTGGGTGACGGTGAGTGTGTGGGTGAGGGTTAGGGTGTGGGTGAGGGTAACGGTGAGGGTGTGTGGGTGAAAGTGTGTGGGTGAGAGTGTGTGGGTGAGTGTGTGGTGTGTGGGTGAGGGTAAAGGTGAGGGTGTGGATGAGTGTGTGGTTAGGGTGTGGTAAGGGTGTGTGGGTGAGGGTCACGGTGAGGGTGTGTGGGTGATGGTGAGGGTGTGTGGGTGACGGTGAGGGTGAGGGTGAGGGTGAGGGTGTGGGTGAGGGTGAGGGTGTGGGTGAGGGTGTGGGTGTGGGTGTGGGTGAGGGTGTGTAGGTGAGGTTAACGGTGAGGGTGTGGGTGAGGGTGTGGGTGTGGGTGTGAGTGAGAGTGTGTAGGTGAGGTTAAAAGGTGGTCTCTCAATATGGTGTATGTTGTCCAGTACCCAGTGAGGGCTGAAGGTGGTCTCTCAATATGGTGTATGTTGTCCAGTACCCAGTGAGGAGGAAAGGTAGTCTTCCGAGGTGGTGTCAGGTGTCCAGTAACCAATAAAGAGCAAAGTTGGGTCCCTTGTGGGAGGAGAGGGGATCAGAAAGTCAGAGCACCATTTCAACACCCAATACTCTGTATTCTAGTTTATTGACTCCATCCTACTGATGGGTGTAATAATTATAGAATTTATATATAAAAAAATCAATTCAGTATCTCATCTTTTCTAACCTGTAAAAAGTTCATTATAAATCGCTTTAATTCGACACTTCGATTGGTTCGTTTAAAAATCTCAAGATTTTGAAACTTAAATTTCTAATAATTAATTTTGTTGGGCTTTGGCAGTAGCTAGCAGCAGCATCACCCCTCAATCTTCACTACTTGCAGGTGTGTACGCATTTGTTACACTCATGGAAGATGTGCAGAAGGACACGGATGAGATCATCACTGAGTTGAAGTCAATGGTGAAGAAACAAATTGGCAGCTTTGCTGCACCAGAGTGCATACAGGTGAGTGGTGCTGCCCCACATCCGTATTCCACACCCTTACCCCCACACGCACACACCAGCAGCCCCTTACACAAACCTCTTGCACCCACATTCCACCAGCTCCACACACTCGTCCCATGTCCACGTACTTGTCCGCCGTATATCCACACTCTCGCACTGTTCCACTGCGAACCTTCTCTCTGTATGTCCAGCACCAGCGTTGATCTGTTGTTGTTCCTTTACAAACCTCTCCCTATGCTTTGCATTAGTGTTGATCTATCATTGTTCCTCTCTGTATGTTTTGCATTAGTGTTGATCTATTATTGTTCCTCTCTGTATGTTTTGCATTAGTGTTGATCTACCATTGTTCCTCTCCGTATGTTTTGCATTAGTGTTGATTTATCATTGTTCCTCTCCGTATGTTTTGAATTAGTGTTGATCTATCATTGTTCCTCAATGACCCTTCTCTCTATATTGTTCAGCCCCAGTGTTGATCCATCGTTGTTTCTACACGACCCTTCTCTTTCTGTGTGTTCAGCACCAGCGTTGACCCGTCATTGTTCCTCAGTGACCCTCTTCTCTGTGTGTTCAGCCCCAACGTTGATCCCTCGTTGTTCCTCGATGGCCCTCCTCTCTGTGTGTTCAGCACAAGCGTTGACCCATCATTGTTCCTCAGTGACCCGCCTCTCTGTGTGTTCAGTACAAGCGCACGACCCGTTTCGTTTCCCTTCGCAGATCACTCCGGGACTGCCGAAGACTCGCTCGGGTAAGATCATGCGCCGCATCCTGCGCAAGATCGCGGCTAACCGCGGCGATGAGCTGGGCGACGTGTCGACCCTCGCCGACCCCAGCGTCGTGCCGATGCTCATCGCAAACCACGCCCCGATTGAGAAGAAGCTGCAGGAGATGCTGAAGAAGAAGTACACTAACGGCGGGCAAGAGAGGACTAAGCGTAATAAGGGGGAAGAGTAGCTGGTTTCCATGAAAATGGCTTCGCTAGGCCGATGAGATAGGCAAAAAATTCGGTCGGAGTAATCGTTTTCTTTAAGCGATTGATGCGCGCATGAGTGCGCAGGTATTGTGAGTCGTGAGGGGGTAGTGCACAAAGAGGGGAGAGTCGTGGTGGAGTTTGGCTTCAATCGACCAGCCACATCCGTAGTCCCGCCACGCGCGTCATCCTCGGACAAATCCGTTAATCGGTCTGCCACGGAAGCTGCTCTATTGTTTGCAAACCGTATCGCTGTCTATCACTAGAACCACGCTCTCTCCGGGCTATCCTTTAAGAGCCGGCCTATTCTATTTGTTTACCCCACGCATAAAGCGTTCGCCGTTTTATACCCGTGTCGAGTGCAATCAGCATGTAGACTCGGCGCTAGGACGCGACGCCTGGTGTCGTGAAGTGTTTAAATATTGAAGTATTCGACATATTCGCATTCTAAGCGTGTGATCGTAACGCCCGCGGCCGAGCCCGCTTTCTGCTGGCGCGCTTAGCGAAGCGCTTAGATCGCCTCCCTGTGCGATTTCGCCGACGAGTTTTGTTCGAAATGAAAATCGACATGTGAGAGGAAGGAGAATCTGAATGCGGTAATCAGCGAAGCGTTATATTGGCGTAGAGCCGTGACTGAGTGACGTACGCTTAACGCTGTTTACCTGTAATGTACTGTTAATTGACTTCATGCTTAGTACATACCTATAGGGAAATATCTCCCCATAGAACCGCCGTTGTTCGCCTGAGAGTAGCACTTACCCAGAGAATGTTGTCTACCTATATATGTATGTATATATATCTATTATGTATATATATATATATATATATATATTAATATATTTATGTGAATAGTGTTTACTCATAGACTGCTGTTTACTCATATGCCGCTCAATATAGTGTAGCACCATTTTAAATCAATAAAATATTCGATCGCATAACTTTATCGATCGTTCATTTTAATGTGCCAAATTTCCTTTCTCTGCAATTTTAGTTTTTCATATACGTTCACGCTATCCTCACAGTCCCAGCCTCAACACTCCTGCACAACAACTCTTCCTCCATCACTGCCATCAGCCTTGCATCCCCCTTACGGACACCACCCACGACACCACCACCAGCCCGCCGCTTAACACCCGCCACCCCCATCACCACTAGCACCAGCACCACCGTCACCGCCGCCACCACCACCACACCACACCGCACCACCACCACCACCACACACCACCACACACCGCCACCACACCACCACCACCACCGCCTGCCAGCCACCCACTGAGCCCCCACCACCACTAGCCACCACCACGAAGGCATCAGCCCAACATTTCAACTTCTCATGATGAACACGCCACGCCCCGACTCAGGAGGACACGCTGTCGACCAGCTATACACGTATATATGGATACGCGCGCATGCGCCGAGAGAGCGGATGGGCGCGGTGACGTCACACTTATCTGCGCCGTGTTTCTCGTAATCGTAGAATATAGCTGATGATTTCCGCGGACAAATCGAATTAGGAAGCCAATCTCGCGCGTTTGCTGGGCAAAGAGCTGCGGCAGCGTAATCGCATCACGCGGCATTCAGGTGTGTCACGCCGCACCGCGCCGCACACCCAGCCCCGCGATCGTGCAGGATGAGGGTGTGTGGGTGTGAGTGGTGTTGTGGTGAGTGTGAGGGGAGGGTGAGGGGGTATGGTGAGTGTGAGGGAAGGGTGAGGGGAGGTGAGGGTGTATGGGTAAGGTGTGTGGTGGTGGGTGAGGGTGGTGGACGTGACAGGTGTGTGACTGAGCTGTGAGGGTGAGGGTGTGTGGGTGAGGGTGAGGGTGATGGGAGGGTAACGGTGAGTGTGTGGTTAGGGTGTCGTGTGGGGTAACGGTGAGTGTGGCGTGGTGACGGTGAGTGTGTGGGTGAGGGTTAGGGTGTGGGTGAGGGTAACGGGGTGAGGGTGTGGGGTGAAAGTGTGTGGGTGAGTGTGGTTGGTGTGTGGGTGAGGTAAAGGTGAGGGTGTGGATGAGTGTGTGGGTTAGGGGTGTGGTAAGGGTGTGTGGGTGAGGGTCACGGTGAGGGTGTGTGAGTGATGGTGAGGGTGTGTGGGTGAGGTGGAGGGTGAGGGTGAGGGTGGGGTGAGGGTGTGGGTGAGGTGAGGGTGTGGGTGAGGTGGTGGGTGTGGGTGTGGTGAGGGTGTGTTAGGTGAGGTTAACGGGAGGGTGGGTGAGGGTGGTGGGTGTGGGTGTGATGAGAGTGTGTGGTGAGGTTAACGGTGAGGGTGTGGGTCGGGTGTGGGGTGTGGTGTGAGTGAAGCAGTGTGTAGGTTGAAGGTTAACGGTGAGGGTGTGGAGTGAGGGAGAGCGTGGAAGTGAGGGTGTGTGATATGAACGGTTAATGTGAGGGTGTGTGGATGCATGGTGACGGTGATGTGAGGGTGTGTGGATGATGGTCGAGCGGTAGTAGCTGGTGAGGGGTTGTGCTGGATGATGGTACGGTTACTGTGAGGGTGTTGTGATTGATGTGACGGTTACTGTGAGGGTGTGTGGATGAATGGTGAACGGTTAATGTGAGGGTGTGTCGGATGATGCGTGACGGTAACTGTGAGGCCAGTGTGTGGCATGATGGTGACGTTACTGTGAGGGTGTGTGGATGATGGTGACGGTTATGTGAGGGTGTGTGGATGATGGTGTACAGGTTACTGTGAGGGTGCTGTGGATGATGTGACGGTGACTGTGAGGGTTGTGGTGATGGTGACGGTTACTTGTGAGAGGTGTGTGATGAATGGTCGACGGTTTACTGTGAGGCGTGTGTGGATGCATGGTGAGGGTGAGGGTGTGGGTGAGTGTGTAGGTGAGGGTAACGGTGAGGGTGAGCAGTGAGGGTGACGGTGAGGGTGTGTGGGTGAGGTGTAAAGGGTGACGGTGTGGTGATGGGTGTGGGTGAGGGTAAAGGGTGTCTGTGTGGGGTGTGGGTGTGGTTAAGGGTGTGTGGGTGACCGTGAGTGTGTTGCTTAGGTGTGGGTTGGCGTGTGGTTAGTGCGTGGTGGTGGGTCGACCGTGAGTGTGTGCTTAGGTGTGGGTGTGAGTAACGGCGTGTGTGTGTGTGTGTGTGTGTGTGTGTGTGTGTGTGTGTGTGTGTGTGTGTGTGTGTGAGGGCGTGGTGGTGTGTGCGTGTGTGTGTGTGTGTGTGCGTGTGTGTGTGTGAGTGCGTGTGTGTGTGTGCGCGCGCGTGTGTGTGTTGTGTGTGTGTGTGTGTGTGTGTGTC